TCCACTTTGACAGTTGAGAGTTACATCCTCGTCGAGGTCGTTGGACAATAAACCTGTGTCATGGAATGAGTCTTGCTTCTGATGAATACCCGTGGTTTGTAGATGTTTACGAGCTAAATGACCGCGGAAGTTTGCTTGGATTTTAACTGCAGCATTTTCCATTTCTTTGTCTTCTATTAACCCATTTTGAGAGCTTATAGTCAAATTTTCATTGTTCTCGTCTGGTGATTCATTTAGTTCTTGGAACGCTTCTTGTTTGTGATAAATATCTGATGTTTGAAGATTCTTACGAATTAAATGACCGCGGAAGTTTGCTTGGATTTTAACTGCAGCATTTTCCATTTCTTTCTCTTCTGTTAACCCATTTTGAGAGCTTATAGTCAAATTTTCATTGTTCTCATCTGGTGATTCATTTAGTTCTTGGAACGCTTCTTGTTTGTGATAAATATCTGATGTTTGAAGATGTTTACGAGCTAAATGACCGCGGAAGTTTGCTTGGATTTTAACTGCAGCATTTTCCATTTCTTTGTCTTCTGTTAACTTATTTTGAGAGCTTATAGTCAAATTTTCGTTGTTCTCACCAGGTGATTCATTTAGTTCTTGGAACGCTTCTTGTTTGTGATAAATATCTGATGTTTGAAGATGCTTACGAGCTAAATGACCGCGGAAGTTTGCTTGGATTTTAACTGCAGCAGTTTCCATTTCTTTGTCTTCTGTTAGCCCATTCTGAGAGCTTATAGTCAAATTTTCATTATATTCACTATGTGATTCACTTACTCCTTGGAATGAGTCTTGCTTCTGATGAATACCCGTGGATTGTAGATTCTTACGAGCTAAATGACCGCGGAAATTTGCTTGGATTTTAACTGCAGCGTTTTCCATTTCTTTGTCTTCTATTAACTCATTTTGAAAGCTCATAATTGAACTTTTGTTGGTCCCATTAGCTGCTAAACTTCCAAGTTCTACCAATCCTTTCGACTGAATTCGATTGAAGTTTTTTTCCTGTTCATCAGCTGACCCATTTCTTATTAGTATCGTCCCATTGTATTCATTTTCCATCACTTCGCCCGGCTGGTTTATATCACTTCTATTCACAGTTTTCTCTGGCTCATTTAGTCTTTCCACCTTTTCAGAATGATTAACTTTGATGTTTACATGTGAATTTCCTGTTTGGTCAGTGAGCTCGCTCTTCACTTGTGAAAAATTTTCATCATTCTCTATGTTCAATTGTTTTCTCGTCATTCGCCCACGGAAAGACGCTTGAATTTTGATTGTAGCTTGTACTAAATCAGTATCATTTTCAACTGATGTTACATCTTTTTCTGGGTGTTTTTCTGTCATTTGCACAGTTGTATGTGAAGATGTAGAAAGTGTATGGTTTTGTTCATGATTTCTGATACTTTTCCTAGCTTTGTAGCCACGAAACTGCGCTTGAAGTTTTATTGCAGCTCCTTCGAGCTCGTTATCCACAGTTTCCTTTGTTAAATTGGCAGATTCATCGCCTTCTACATTGTCACGTCCATTTTTTAAGTTGTTGTTTGCTTCTTTCGATGTGTGTTTCAAAGAATTTGACACAGGTTTGTTTGCTCCCAGGTTCTTTCTCACTTTATGGCCACGAAAACTTGCTTGAATTTTTGTTGCTGCTAACTGCAGTGATTCGTCCTCTTCGAGGTCGATATTTTGGCATCCATTGGTTTCTAGTTTTTCATTGTTCATATTCAGAATATTTGATTCCTTTCCTACTGGTTCACTTGCACTGGTGTGCACGTTGACAACGTCCTGTGGACTCTGAGGTTTGTTCTGAACATTACACTGCTTCCGTACTGTACGTCCTCTGTACATTGACTGTATTTTTATAGCAGCTACTTCCTCTTCAGTAGAACCAGATGATAATACTTTGGAAGAATCAGGTTTATCTGACGAATATAAGATAAAAAACAAAGATTATATAGAAAAGCCTGTCTGAACAATTCTGTGGAAAAATTTACAAAAAATATTTGAACCGCAATTTTGTTTGATATGCCTAAAAAAATACCTAGAACGAGCAACAGAGAAATATGCTTTTTAAATGTTTTTTCTGTTACTAACTTTGTGAATCAGACGTGAATATGTACTTGAGAATGGCTATTTTAAAATAAAATATTTACAAAAAAAAAAAAACGTTTGTCGTAAACGGCTAAAAGTAACACGAGTTACACTTCTCATTAAACTTTCATTTATGCAACACACGTTTCATATCTGTTCTGAACACAAATTGGTTCATTCCATGATAATAGAGATAACGTAATAATAACACAATATGTTAGCTAAAACGTGAGAATAAAATACAAGTAATTAACAATGGATTAAAACGTTTCACATTAGGAGGAAGAAATATACGTAATAATTCATATATATATATACATATATATTATCACATGTGGATGCGTTATAAAAACTTATAGGGTTAAGAAAGATCATGTAGGCGGTAGGTACTGCCCTCCTTCTGATCAACAGTTCTAAACCTTGGGAGTCTTTCACCAGTCCATTTAATCCACGCTTCGTCTAAGATGCCATTCAGGTTGAAAATACCAAATACTTTTATTCTCTTTTTCATTATTCTATCCCGCTTAAAGTGTCTTTAAAAAGTTAACGGATAAAAAGCAATATACACTCACATATCTGTATAACGCGCAAAGTGAAATAAATCATATAAATATAATATTCCATAAGAACGAGAACAATCTAACTGTATACATGCCTGACTTAAGTTGTATGAAGTCTTAGAAGCGCCCTTTGTTTATACCTATGTATAATGAAAGCATAACATATATTTTCATATACACGCTTTTAAATAAAAGTATAAGATTGCAGGGACCCAACTTATTGCAAATGGACATGTAAGAAACACGCCCTCCCAAATGACACATACGCTGAACTAGTTGATGCAGAGAACGGCGTTAATTAATAATGCGTGTGACATAAAAAAAAATCGATTTTCCTATCGCCACATGTTTAAACGTAAACCTTGACACCAGTATATTCTGGTTTGTGATTTATGACTTATTCTACTGTGATTTCGAGGAGCGTATATTTAAAATGGTGAAAACACCTAGTGATTTGGAATGTGCAACAATGGACAGCAGAACATGAGAAACTAAGCTTTCATTAGTCTGCGAAACTGTCATCGTTGTTTTTAAACTAAAATCATTTCCTTTCTCTAGTTACATAAGAAAAAAACACACTCTTGACATTTTTGGTTTTAGTAGAGGATTTTTAGAACCTTTTTATTTTCGTAAAATATGAGATAGCTACTGGACAAAATATTGATTTTCGTTTTTGTTTTTTTAATAAAGAGACTGAGAGAAAGCTTCATTTTTAAGAGCCCCCCCAGTAGCACAGCGGTATGTCTGCGGACTTACAACGCTAGAATCCGGGTTTCGATACCCGTGGTGGACAGAGCACAGATAGCCCATTGTGTAGCTTTGTGCTTAATTACAAACAAACAAACTTATTTTTAAGAAATATGTATAAATATCTATTTTTATATAACATGACCAAATAATCTATAAATAATTGCATGATGACGTTAAAGTTACCTTCATAAGTTGTAACCGAAACACGTAAAACCTGAAGTTAGGATTCAGAACTAGACGTTATTTGTCTTTGCTCCTCTATACGCCTTTGTCTGTTTACCTACACGCCTCCTTGTCTGCCTAATGTTCTATTTTAATATCAATACTAAATCTATCTATTTATCTAAATAGGGAAAGAAGACCACAAAAACGTCAAAATAAGCAAAATGTAACAAGCCACATCTACTTTAAATGTCGTGATGAAAATAGGGGGCTCAACGAAGCAGCGTTCTCTTTTACAACATTAAAGGCCACTGTTTTGTCTACACATGGCTGAAACGTGACAAAATAACCTGGATGAGAAGAATCACGATTTGTGTTATATCTGAAGTTGACGTTCTCTGTGAATTCCAGTTTCCCATATAACTGCTATGTCGGTCTTCACCCTGTAACGACGTTAACTGTGAATTGTAGTTTCCCATATAACTGCTACGTCGGTCTTCACCCTGTAACGACGTTAACTGTGAA